ATAGAGACTTGCAGCTTAAAACGGTTTAAATATGAAACTAAGTAAAAACGATGAGTATACTATAAGTTAAAGTATCACCTTACAATATTGGGAACTTACACTAATAACACTTTCAGCTTTTGTAGGCAAGAGAAAGAGACCTCAAAACATATGCTAGAAGAGTGTAGGACATCGCAAATCGTTTGAAAAAATAAAAGTCTGTAATGAAGATTCATTTTAAAGAAATTTTTAAATGAAGTTCGACAACAAATTCCCCAAAAATAATATATACTAATAATCTCAAATCCAGTATATAAAATTAAGGTCTCTGTTACTAAAACTGTATACCTATTATATTGTTATAGCTTAGAACTTTAACCTATCGACTACTTTTGACTTCTATACTTACGCGACTAAGAGTGATTTACTCACATTTAAACGATATTAAACGATTTAAATTTTAAGTTTTTAATTGAAATTTATTTTTCAAGCATTTTGCTGTAAATTTCTAATAAAAACAATTATTCACAAACAAAATTAATATAATAATTTTATTACTTTAGAAGCAATTACTCGATTGTAGGGTTTTGTAATGTATTAAAATATATGTGTGTATATTCGCTTGTTTATATACTCATTCATTACATCAATTGAAATAAACAATTACTGAAAGTATAAAAAAAAAGTAAAAATTAAAGCTAAAATATGTTAACAACTTTTTATTACTCGTAGTTTGAGATTTTATAGCAAACAAGTAATTAAATTACATCGACTAGTTTATTCACATGGGAAGTTATTACTTTTTGCGGTTTTTTATTTTTCATATTTAAGTATATTTATATTAATTAAATTTTAAGATTAAGGTTAGCAGAACTTTGTTTTGCTATTAGTTCGTAACAATATATATCATACTATCTAAGCTGTGATACTAGGAAATATATGTGCTTAATACTAGTGTAACTTTCATATAAAAACAAAATAAACAAATATAATTAAAATTCAACAAAATAATAAACACTATTAGCATAATCCAAGAAACTTAAATATTGTTATTATCAATATGTTTTATTTAAATTGATTTCACATAGATATTATAGACTACTTTATACCAACTAATTACTATTCACAAAATTTACATTTTTTTTTTGCAAAACTATCAGTCTAAAGTACAAACCACATGACTTTATATTTGAATTATTTTGAATTAATAATAACAGTTTTATTGAATGCTAATCACTGGGTTTTGAGATTTTAATTCAAACTCATGAAAGTATCAAAAACAAATCAAAATTCTCCGTGTCCAAAGAAAACGAAATGCTAATTTGCTTATATAAACATATGTATGACCAGAAAGTACCCTTACTGCAGGTGCCACTGCTAACGACTTTCATCTCAATTTTACAGATTATTAAACGACATGACTTGAGTCTATAAATATGAACAATTATCATTTAAGGACAAAAAAAAAACTCAAGAACTCAAGTTCTGATGATCAAATGTTCTCAACCACCCTTTGGCTTACCGCTACCGGACTGTGGCATTGGCACCACTGAGTGGTAAAGCATTTTATATTCCTCTCTGATATTATTTTTTTAGGAAATATTCATACCGGTACCATTAAATGACATAAATTATTTTACTGGTATGCACTACATTATGGGTTGAGAAACAGTGGACTATACAATTATTATTAACAACACTTAAAATATTATTTCAAAGTTCATTTTCAGATCCACACAATAACATAAATACTACATGACAAATTTAAATTTTCTGATCACAAATGCATATTAATTTTATAAGAATATATATATGTTACTAGCTGACCCGGCGAACGTTGTTTCCCCTTGCAATTAATTTTCCTGGCGTTCGTTGCGTTGCTCTTGACTTTCATTAGCACGTGTAATTGTATCCTGGTTTCTTACATCTTCATTGTTTTCTGCCGATATATTTAACCGACGGTTCTGGAGTAATTGTGAATTCCGAGTCCGTCGACCAATATTTCCTCCTCGTCCACGAAGACGTGGCATTGTCTTTTGTACGATATTTATATCTTTATATATATAATTCTTCTTTTTTGTGTGTTGAATTTTTGAATTCGCTGGATTTACCAGGAATACCACCACATAACTTAAGATTAAAAATTGGCTCACCTATAATTATGCTGCGGAATTTAAATGCACTTAAGCTATGCAACGTCAGTTTTACCATTCATTTTAGAGATTTTAAAGTTTTTAAACAAATCAAAGTAAGCATGAATAAATTTTAAATTTTTAATATAAATGTATATGGATACCAAAAAATAAAAAATTGATTAAAAAGACATTATCCAGTGGGCCAAATTGTGAATCTAAACCTTCCTTGAATCCACTTGAACACACACAAAAAATTTCATCAAAATCGGTTCAGCCCTTTAGGAGGAGTTCACTGTCAACACACGTACAGAAGAATTATATATATAAGATAAGCAGTATTGATTACTTTTTCAATATATATAGTTCAGTTTTTCAGTGGCTGATATTTATTATAATCAGTGTCATATAGGAATTGTGATCCATTTGAATCTGACTGTGAAATCATCTGCTAAGCGCAATCAAACAAGAATTCCTCAATGATTTCATTGGCTAACTTATATTCATAATTTTCACCCATCTACAATACTTTTAGCCTTTTTGAACATAGGATTTAGCTACATATACATAATTCATATATATTCTTACATAAAACAGATCACAATAAAGCCGAACCGCACAATTCTTGGCATTTCAAATTTGGCGATTTGTGCCAATTGTTATTTTGCTGGATATCAGAGAGACCTCTGATCTGGAGAATTTTCAATAAACTTCTGTAACAAACAAATGTTTACTATATAACGGCCAAACTTATTTAACGTGAAGTACTGGTCATTGAGTCAAACGACTGTCTTAACAATTTTCTCTTAGTAAGACAATAATGTTGGAAAGTATTCAAATGCATAGCACCATCAATATTAAGTCACCTGTTCGAATTACAACACTTATGCAGTTCGGTTTATTATTAATAAATTTAATTGAAACATTGCTAATCAAACTAATGCTTTCAAGTACTTTGCAGGGTTTGCTCAGCAATGTAGTACCTAAATTATCTTAACACCATTGACCATTAAAAACAAAATATTTAGTGTCTTATAGTATAATAAATCTTTACTATATACCACTGCTAGTTTTAGATATTATGTTGGATCCGTAGTTCTTAATTCAAATATTTTTGTTTTGTTTGTTCAACACTGTTATAATCTCATCTTCATTTAGATAAGCTTCTTCAAGATACCTTATTCTGAATTCTTTTAATATAAGACATATGGTATATCAATATACTCCATAGTCCATTACTATGTTATTCATGATTGCTGTCATTTAATTTTATGAGCACACTTCAAGCTGTCCTTATTCACGATATTTGTTTAGCCTTGCCGCCAAAAATGTTCTAGATACGTCTTTGACTTTCGAGATTTCTTTGTAATATGTCTATATGGTAGATTATTATTATAGAAGATTTTTTTGAACAAATTTACTCCTGATGAATGGATGGACCATAAAATATTAGAAAATTTTCAATTATTCTATATACAAATACAAATATTTTTGTAACTTGAATCCCGAATTAAGTAAATAGTTTATTATTGTTTATTTAGTACATGGTTATGCCACATATGCTTATTCTTATCAACATATGCTAACAGATAATGTACCAGCAAAAGGTATTATTGTAGAGTCACACTTTTATTTTAAAATGAAATATAGTTGTAAATAAAAGATTTGTGTTATAAAAACAAATTTCTGAAGGTAACGACCAAATTATTCTACTCTATTCTAGTCGCCTATGTTTGCTTCCAGCAATTGGTTGTGTCTCAGAAGTACATGGAACTCAAACAAATTTTTATCAGCTTTCGTAGAAGAAAACAATACTTGCGTAACTGTACAGGAGATAAGAAAAGCATTTCAGTTTGTATTTTTATATTATTTTCAAAATTAGATTGTAGACGAGTGTTTATATAAAAAAATACAATTGACTTCGTTGTTATATTCCCTTAAATATGTTCCGAAAATATGGTATATATTAAAATTTAGGTCAAGATCGTTTCAGACATGTATGTATGTGCCGGTAAATATTGTTTTAAAATAAACATTTTTAAAAATATATATATAAATGTATATATAATTTTTATACAGATGATTTGAGATACCTATGTGTGTACCGGTAAAATATTTTTTAAAATTAAATTTTTAAAATAAAAAAATTTTAATATACATATATGTTTCTTTTATATCAAAAAGAAATATATATATGTATATCGAATCTCAGAATGGTTACAGGCTCCTCGGGGAGGTATGCAGATCTGAGGTCAATTATTGTTTAGTCTGATGAAGTGATAAACAATAATCCCGTCAAGGGTTAGAGAGGGGTTATGCAGAAACCTCACAGTTAATAGAGAGTAAAAGTGCTCAAGTGCACTGACTTAACTATTCTCAACATAATAATATATTTATATCATAATAGGAAGAAATTTTTTATAGGAGATCATATTAAAAATCTATTTCTCATTTTCCTTGTTTTCTTTTCTTTCCTTCTTTTTATCCTTCTTGCTCGGAAAACTCTATTTGAAACCTACAAAATTCAAGCTTTTTTGGCACTAAGATATTTTTAATGTTAAAAGACAATAAATAATGCTAATTTGATAATTAAGTAATAAAATGAAGCACTTTATTTCGTACACTAACGACTTATTCGAAGGCCTCAAATTTTTATAAAAAAAATCTCAAACATCATTTCAAAGAGTGGTTAGCGTTAAGCAAATAAAATTGATTTAATTAAATCCAAGGTTTCCATTGAAGAAGTCTCAGTAAATCTTGTATATATCTTGTGTATATGTGAAATATTCAAATTTAAATTAGTGAGTCGTGTGGAATACTAGATATCGGTTATTTTTCTTGGGTTAAGTACTCGTATCTGTGTTAACATATGTGATGTTTGAAACTTACAATTATGTCGGAATACTGGCAATCGAAATAAACCTTCAACAATATTTATTTGCACAATTTGTTGTTATGTTCTTTTTATTTTGTTATTATTATTTATATTATTTTGTTTCTTTTACTTAGTTTGTTTTGAATTAAATAGATTCGCAAGGTCTTTTCAATAAAATGAATTGCGCTTAAGTAGTTTTTTTCCCGATTTCAATGTATAAGAACTAGTTTGTTTTATTCAACAAAAGTCACAATACAATTAAATAATTATTAAATCAAAACAAGAGCCAAAAGTGATTTTCTTTTTCTCAGTACAATTGGATTTTTTTTTTTCAATACAAAAATGTTGACACAATTACGCGAAATTCATTCGAATTATCTTAAAACAACTTGATTGCTCCGCAGTCGAGCGATTACTAAATGAAAACTTGTATTCGAACGCCTACAAAAGTATCTACGAAATTGTAGAGGTACCAGAAATAAATTTTGAAAGAGAGCTCTTGATACAACCCGTCGCCACTCATGCTACTACGGCCGCTTGCGACTTCTGGTTTTACAGTGCTTTTTTCTGTACACGTTATCTACGCTCGCTACATTTGACTTCAATTACAACATAACGAAATAGGAAAAGATACAATTAAATAACAGTAGGCAAAAAATGCGATTAGCAAGTTCCCCCACCAACATTTAACTCAATAGCAAATCAACAAAATCATATGACTTGGTCAACAAAACAAAACGCTTCACTGGTGTACGTCAAGCAGCAGAATATCATTTCGAAAAATTTTCCAACTGCCGTTCCTCGTACGTCTTCAAATACTTTGAAAATTCTTCTCAATTGGGATTGTTTTGCTTGCTTTTGAATAGCGATCGTCGTAGAAGTACATGTACATCTCCGTCATGTTTGCCAAGTAACGCTGTAAACATGAGTTTTTACAACAATTATCTTCGGTTTTAAAAAAGTGTAAACAAAAAATATCTCACCAGCAAGAAAAGCACTGAAATCGAATACTTTAGCCACAATTTCGCACACTCCCTCCCGACTGAAACTAGAACTTTGAACCCACCACACACACTCGCAAGTGTGTGGATTCAGATACAAATGGGTAAGTGTGAGAATGTATCTGAGAAATGCGCAAGCAATGTTTATATTTGCATTCATACATATTTGCGAATGTGTAAATAAAAAATTGCCGGTTGCAGCATTGCTCAAAATGCATATAAAAATATAAAAATAAAGTTCATATGAAAGACTAACGTAATCAATTAATAAAATTGGAAAAAAGTCTCTGAAGTTTATAAGTCTGGCGCTTGTGTATTAACACATCGTGAAGGAAAATTATATGACAACCTAAATTCTGCCAGAAATGTTAAGATAAAGTGTGCTCCAATCTGATTGCCTGTTGTTTGTTGTCATAACGATCGAGTAGCCGAAAATATCGTTCTACTTAGAATTAAAAGTAGATAAGATAAATTTGTCTGTGACTTCCACTATCACTTACACATTTCACCTTCCGTAGTACTCATAGACATTTTGCATTTATTGAGTCAACCATTGAGTCAACCACATCTTACTCATAACTGTTTTTATAACTTCAGTTACATTTCATATAAAGATTTTAAAACAAAAATTTTTTCATTCTCGGAACTGAGCTTCAAGTTTGGCAACACCCGAGTTCGATTTCTGGTACTTGCAGTCTCAAAAAATTATTTACGAATAATTAAATACAAGAATAATTTCCAAGACACCTGATGATGAGTATTTGGCAATACTCGAAACAGCTGTATGCTCAGCCCAAAAATTCAATTAATTAAAAAAATATAAAATGACGGTGCGCTGTCCTAACGTCCCAACAAGTGGCCCCACTGAAGTGAAGGATTAGCCGAAGTCCTTCTATTCTCGGATGTCGTTATTGAGTTAACGCTGGAGCGTCTTCCATTCGCATAACTACATTTCTTGTTAATGAAAGCACCTCATTTAGCTTGAGGTTGCCTGCCAAGTCATCACCAATCCAATGGTGTCCAAAGACAGTCTTCCTCTTACTTGCCAGTGCTGGACATTGGCGCAATGTATGCACCCCTGTCTCCTTTTCTTCTAGACATAGTCTGCAAGTGTCTTCCTCAGCAAGAGTTATCTTTTTGAGATGATACTTGAAGTTGCCATGTTCAGTAATTAGTGAGGTCAGCCAGCTAAGCACTTTCATCGCTTTCTTGACCCACGGTTTCGGCAATATGAGTTTGGTCTGTCTACAAGTGCTCAACTCTTTCCATCTATTGAGATAAAGTGTATTCATAAAAAAATAAAAAGAAAATAAAATAATAAAATAAAATAACAGAGCAGATTTGCTGTTCAATAAGCATGAATCTCTTGGAGTCTTTAAGCCTTTCTCAATATATCAAGTGTTTGATCTAAATGTTCAAATTCGAGTATTCGCGAACTGTTTAAGGAACGTTATTTCAAACACTAATCCAACACATCTACCCAAACCACTACAAAACTGCGATTTTCCAATATGTTAAGTAGAAGAATAAAGTATTAAGATTAATTAAAAAATAATATAATAACAAACAAATAAAACAAAATATAACAAATAAAAAATTAGAAATGATATTTTTGGTTCCTCCAAATATAAACATCTCTTTATATAAAGTTATTAAGAATCAGAAAATGTTAACCGATTAGAACTTATAAACAAGTTTTGTTTAAAATTTAATCGATTATCGATCACAAATTTTAACAGATTAAAACTTCCATTCTATAAAGAGGCTTTGTTTAAAATTAAATCCAATAGTCTAATATTTTACGACAATATGTAATACACCTATATCATATATCTTCCAAAAATGGAAAATAAAAATTAACAACGGGAAAACTATGGTACTGTTTATAAATCGTAAAAACATGCAGCATCCTTCGAGAATGAGAGGTGCTGACATTGCGATAAATTGGGAGGACAGCACTAAATATATGGAAATCAAGTTTGATAAGCGATTATCTGCAGCCAGATAATCAGAGCGGCACTTCTCTACGGGTGTCTTGCGTATAGTAAAGCTGCCAACTCTCCAAAAACACTTCAAATTGCCTTGGTACATCCGCACGAATGACATGCTAAGAGACCTCAGAATAGACCCGGTTAAAAAATATATAAGCGACAGAGCCCTGAAGCAGTACGTGAAAATCTTATAGGCTGTCCTACTTAGCACTATCTAATCTCAGAGCAGAACCGTACAGGGCCATATGTAGATTTTAGATTAGTCGTCGAATAATCACGAAACTTTTGAAGAATATGTAAATCAGTCAGTGAGAAGGAAGGGCCTCTGTAAAAACTCTCCAGCTAAGAAAGAGTAAAAGTGGTCAGTTGCACTAACTCAGAAAAACCTCAACATAATACTTAAATTAAATCTTGATGAAATGGATCAGTTTTTGATCCAATATATATTCTGTATAAAAACCATCCGGATCAATGAAGCCAACCACAATCGCGTTGCAGTCACGAAGGGTAACACAGTATAGAGGTTAAAAAGAAAGGAATAAGTATAAGTTCCAACTTAAATATTACAACTTATATAGTATAGCAGTAGTACTTTTCAGAGAGTCTATGGTAGCAATGCATCAAAGTATCTTAGTATTTTTCGGGGAATAATAATATTGCTGAGGAAAAACTTGCTAAGTTTTGACATAAATTTTTAAGATAACCGTAAAAGATTCTTACTAACATCTATGTTTTGCGACCTTTAATCAAAAGGAATACACAGGCTAAACTAAATGCTGATTTTAAAGGTTTTTTGTGGGCTTTGATTGAAAGGTATACACAATATAAATTGAATTCAAATAGAATGATTTTAAAATGGTTTTTGTATAAAAATCAAAGATATTACAATGATAGACAGCTAAGACTCGAAAATATACAAATACAAAAATGTAAAAATTATCTAAACAACATAAGAACATGGATTTGTCTATTTTGATACTTTGAACTTACCTAGACAGCGCGAATTAGTTTTATATTCAGCCTAAATTTAATTTTAAAAAAATAAAATATTAAAAATATAGCTTATACGCTAAAGGAACTTGAAGATATCTGTTGGGAACCATTCCTAACTACTTTCGTGTGACCCTGCTGTAAGTATTAGTAGAAAACTCTGATTGTTATTATAGAAAAAACTATAAGATTGTGTGATAGATTGTGTGATAAGTGATATCAATTTAGATTTAATTATTAGGCGTAATAATGGCTTAATTCTATAATTAATATAAAAAACAAGAAAGTAATATTAATAAGATGCGATATTATGAATGAATTATTATATTAATAGATTAAATAATAACTAATAGGGTTTTTATTAGTAATTGTTTTTATATTCTTATAAACTGACAGACATCAATTAATAGCTAAACTTTAATAAATGGAGATAAAATGTCTACTGTAGATATATTTACAGTATTTATTAATATTTAATATTAATAGATGCCCTTTATTAACGATGTTAGTTCAGAAAGTTTGTTATAATAGTAAGTTCTTATAATCGAAGTTATTAAAATCTTACAAAGTAACAGTCTAGGCTAGATTAAGTTAAAATGACGTTCCTAAAAATGTACTTATACATATTGGTCCGTTGTGTGGCCGTACAAAAAATCCGAAACAGTTTTAACAACTGTCCAAAATTTGAAGGCAATATATATTATTTATAATATAATATCTAAAGAGGAATTAGCGTTAGTTAAAATTGAAGCTTTTTTTTAAATACAGGTAGCCGAGTTTTATATTGTAAAATGATACTATAAGCTAACTGCTTAAGATAACAACTGATAATTAACCTATTTTCTGAAAAATAATAAATAGTGTCATATATCTTAAGAGTATTTAAAGAAAAAAACAGCAATAGATTATCGTTGTTTAGGTGAATGTAAATATATTAAATTAATAATAAGGTATTAAGATATAAAAGCTTTAGTAGCTAATGACAACTCAAGTCCATAATAGCAAAATATACATACTATTCAAATTTACTTAATCCTCACTTTATTTAATCTTTACTTGATCTTTGACAAAAAAAATTAAACAATATATGTCAAAAGGCAAACAGCAGACAATGCTCCCCATATGTATGG